CCACAGTTTATGGGGAACTTCATAAAGTGTAAAGGGCAGTGCCCTGGGGTGCATTTTCCAAGGAGTATTGCGCACACCACTGGTGGTACCCATGCGGCTTCAGACAGTGGCCAGGTCAGCTTCTAGGTGTTTTGTTTTGTTAAGAAAGCTTTAAAAATTAAAACTGACATTTGAAACCTGACTATAGGAATATTATTTAGGCTGAGGCTAAGTAATATAGCATTCTTTAAGTGGAAAAACAAGTCAATAGAAATAAGAAATATTGGGCAAACAATAGTAGAGTTGGTATGAAAATATGACAAAAATTGTAAAAGCTGTAAAAATAACTGCCATTTATTGGGTGCTCACGGTGTGCTGCTCATATCCCACGTGTGAGCTCATTTAATCTTCATGGCACCCTACGAGGTAGCCCATTTTACAGATCCGGAGACTGAGGCTCTGGGAGGTCAAATACCTTGCCCACAGATGGACACATAACAAGAATCTGAATCCTGAGCCACTGAGCACATCTACTCTGTAACCTTCTTTCAACTGGACTGACGTAATGTCTTTCAAGAAACATCTATTGGGCACCTGCTGTGTGCCAGGCTGCCAAGGATGCAGCAGTGAGTAAGAGCCAAGCCCGGCTCAGCAGAGCTCAGTGGGGCTGGAGACCAAAGACTTCTTCAGAATCTTTTCAGAGGAATCGTTAGAACATGATGGCTGCAGGGTCCTGATCATGCTGCTGTTTGTGTTTATTTCAAAAGCAATGCTTGCCCGACGTGTTTTAAAAATAGTACGTCCCGATGCTCTATAAGGCTGTAAAAAATAAGGGTAAAATTTTGCATCCCCACAGTCCGTACCCCAGGCACGCTCTGCACGCCCAGTGACTCCTTACGCACCCTTGTAGGTGTCGTCCGTGGACACAGGATGGAGGTCCGTCTTTAGGGTCCCGTGATGGATTTCAGGAAGGCCTTGTGGTTTGGTTCGGGGCTCAGATGTGGAAACATCGGCTGCGTGTCCGGGCTGCTGTGAGGTGCCAGCGGGTGAACTTCAAGCTTAGGGTTGACCCTGGTTCAGTGGAAGGATTCGCCTTGCCCGTCAGCTGGACCATTTGGTGCCTTGTATCTGGGAGTCTTCACTAAGTGGAACTCTATTCAGTATCTCTGCCTCTCCTTCAACTCGTCCTTCCCTCAGCCAAACTAGGGGTCTCCTCCAGGCACCCTTGAATCTTCTGAGTTTCGCTCTCTGACTACAACTGCCATTTTTTGGTTAACTTGCCCATTTACATTTTTTGCCCCCTTAGAGCTTAGAGACCATGGGCTCAGGAGGGCGAGAATGGTGTCTGGTTCACAATTGGCCCCACTGCTGGGCACGCTGCCCGGCATGTAGTCAACGTTCGTTAAATGTTTTCTGGATAAATGCACTTGTGTGCACTAAAGCATGTCACCCAGATATGCCCCCAGCTGCTCAGAGAGCTGGAGGGTTCCTTTCCACAGTCTGACTTCCGGGCTGGCTGGATTGCAGGGCGGCAAGAATATGGTTCTTAACTCCTGATGAAGGCTGCCACTGAGGTACAAAGAAAACAGTCCTTCAACCTCAAGAGTAGAAACCAGGTTCCTACCCACCCACCCACCCATTCGAGGAGATCAAAGCCCCAATTCTTCACTAGTGGTGATTGCCGTCGCTAAAACATGATCATTCTTTCATCTGTTCATTGGAAAGGTGAACATTTAAATGCCTTCCTAAATGTCAGGAAGGTACTATGTGTGATATGATAGGGAGTGGTGGGGATTGTGGCTAACTGGGAAGCACACTACTGGTCTAAGGGGGACAGCTGCTACTCGAGTCCATGTGAGTCGAGTGCTTGGGCTCATGTCACCATCATTGCTATGTGGCGATGTGAGCCCATGGTTGCCAAACCTTCCAATGTTTCAGAAGGAGCCAGACGTCTAGATTATTACATGAAATACTCTGATTCGCACGAGCTAAGTAGAGCCCATGTGTAGGTCGTGTTCATAGAGAAAAAGGTTCCAGTTGGGACCTCCATTAGACTTTGTCCCTCCCACCTACGAGTTCCATGGGGCCAGGCGTCACATCGGTTTTATTCACCTCTGTGTCCCTACGCTTCCTCTGTGTCGGCACATGCTGGGCGCTCATAAATGTCTGTTGACTGAATGAATGAGTGCTTCCTGTGAACCAGGTTTGGTGCTGGGCACTGAGATTCCTGGCATGAACATAAACACGAGTTTCCAGGCTGAGAGAGAGGTGCCGAGGCGAGATTCCAACAGTGCCATACAAGATTCTGAAGCTGTGATGGAGGTCTTTGTGCAGCTTATAGGACAGGGTTCCAAGGACAGGGGAATTCATGCTGAGTTCAGATCTGAGCGGGGACAGATCTGAGTTCTGGAGATTCATCTTGCAAGATAAGATGCTTAAAACAACACCTACTTCTTATCTTACCATTTCTGGGGGCAGGAGTCTGGGCACAGCTTACCTGGGTCGTCTGGTTCAGGATCTCTCACAAGAGATACTCTGGGGCTGGGGTCTCCTCTGAAGGCCCCACTGGGGAAGGGTCCACTTCCAGACTCACGTGGTTGTTTGCACAACTCGGTTCCTTACAAGCTGTTGGCTGGAGGCGACCCTCGGTTTTCTGCCACGTGAGCCTCTCCACAGGGCAGCTCACAACATGGCCAATTGTTTCCCCAAAGACAGTAAGAGAGGAGGCTGCCAGCAAGACAGAATTACAATCTCATGTCACATCATCACGGAAGTGACATCCCTTCACCTGTGTGTATTCTGTTGGTTAGAGCGAGTCACAGTTCCCACTGCAAAGAGCTGCAAAGAGCATGCATGCAGCAGGTGAGGAACTTGAAGGGCTCTCTTAGTCTTTCCACCGCACTGCCCTGTAGATGGGAGGAGAAAGAGCATTCCAGGCAGAGGGACCAGCACAGACAGGGCACCAAGGCTGAAATAGTGTAACCCATCTAGCAAAACGTGACTAGCTCGCTGTGCAGTAAAGAACCATCAGAGAGGGAGACCGTGGCCAGATGAGATGAAGCCCTGAGATGAAGCCTGGAGGAATGGCCTCTTCCCCACGTGCATCAGCATCATCAGGTAAAATACGGCAAACGACCCCCCGGCTCCATGTTCTGAACTGAGGACCTGCATAGTCAAGGTGATGACAAGCTGGGATTAGACTAGTAGGTTGTGAAAGTCACTCAGAGGTCACAGGAGCCCTTCAGGTAAAAAAGACAGTGCGCCACCTCCTCCAAGAGTTTCACTAATCAGGTGAGTATCGGCAGCTGTCGACGGAAGCCTTTTCCACCTTGTCTGTCTGAAACAGCGATGGCAGGTGCCAGATGGGGTGTTTAAAGACTTGGGTCTTTGTAAGCCAAAGCGAGTCCAGGAGGAAAGGATAAAATGTGTCAGCATTTGGTGGGGGGAAATTGGAATGCACGTGTACTGTTTGTGGGAATGCAAAATGGTGCTGCCACTGTGGAGCAGGATGGTGGTTCCTTAAGAAGTTAAACATGGAATTACCATGTGATCTAGAAATTCCACATCTGTGGATACGCCCAAAAGAACTGAAAGCAGGGTTGTGAAGAGAGATTTGCACACCTGGGTTCATAGCAGCATTATTCACAATCGCCAAAGGATGGAGCAGTTCAAGTGCCCATGGATAGAGGAAAGGAGAAACAAAACGTGCTCTATCCATGCAGTGGAATATTATACAGCCCTAAAAAGGAAGGAAAGTCTGACACCTGCCACAACATGGATGAACCTTGAGGACGTTATGTTAAGTGAAATAGGCCAGACACAAAAGGTGAAATACTGTGTGATTCCGCTTATATGGGGTCCCTAGAGCAGTCAAATTCACAGAGACAGAAAGGAGGCTGGTGGCTGCCGGGGGGCTGGGGGAGGGGGAGCAGGGAAGTGTTTCATGGGTAGAGTTTCAGCTTTACAAGATGAAAAGGGTTCTGGAGATTGATCACATAACAATGTGAATGTACTTAACACAAGTGAACTGTACACTTAAAATGGTTAAGATGGTAACTTTTTGTTATGTAGGTTTTACCACACTTTAAAAAGATTTTAATCATAAACTTTTAAAAATATTTTAGGATTTGTAGTATTGTGTGCAATGCTGTGTTTGCTTGCTGTCCATTCCATCCGGGTGCAAAAAAGACGCTAGACTACATGCTGACCCTGGAATGGGTTAAACTTGCGGGTTCAACTCTCCAATAAGTCCTAAGTTACCAGAGGTCATTTATGATGCTCCTACTGTATATGTCAGGGTCATTTATGTTGTTCCTACTGTATACCAGGCCCTAAGCTTCAAGCATGCATTTACAGGCTCATCTCCAGTGAGGGAAACTGACATTAAATAATTAAATACAATACAGTGTATGCAGTGCTGGGGTACAAGAAAAAATGGAAAGACTAGTGACTCAGTTAGGGGTAGGGGGCATCAGAGAAGGCCTCCTGAAGGAGGAGAAATGAAGACTGACTTCATTTCTTGATAAGACAAGACTTATCCAGGCTGGGGTTGGCAGGTGAGGTATAAAGTGAGAACCAGGGGGAATATTTCATAATTTAACACGACCACCACCATCCATCATTTACTGAGTACCTGTGACATGCCCATAGCATGCTAAGCATTTTACACCCATTACCTTAGTTAATCTTCCAAGTCCCTATGAGATAGGTACTATTATTTGCATTTTACTGATGAGGAAATGGAGGCTCAGAGAGGTTGTGGCCCTTGCCAGAGGTCACGCAGCTAGTAAGCAGCAGAAGCCAGATTTTAACCCAGATTCCACAGCCCAGTACCTTCAACTGTGCCCAGAGGTGGGAGAGAGAAGGGTGAGTTTGAGGAATGGGAAACAGTTCAATGCGAGATGGGGATGTAGAGAGGGGACGTTGGAGAGGCTAACCAAAGCCACACCACACAGGCTCTGAGCAGGAGTCCCCAAAGATTTGCACCATCTCCTCAGAGCTCCTTTTGGCTTGCCTTTCAGCGGAAGAGTCCCTGGCATGTGACAACCCAGGGTTACCTGAAAACGGGTACCAAATTCTGTACAAGAGGCTCTACCTGCCGGGAGAGTCCCTCACCTTCATGTGCTACGAGGGCTTCGAGCTCATGGGCGAGGTGACCATTCGCTGCATCCTGGGACAGCCATCCCACTGGAACGGACCACTGCCCGTTTGTAAAGGTAAAGAACCCTATTTGAGACGCGGGAACTGAGGGACCCTGAGATGTCGGGACTGGCTGGCAGGGATTCTGAATTCGCTCTAAAAAGCCAAGCTACTGTAGTTCATTAAATCTAAGACATCGCCATTATTTTCTGCACCGCTGAGAAAGAAAGAAATTGCTGCCAATTAAACTATGACACGATGCCTTCTCCTTGCTTAGCGTTAGTATTTTCACTTTCTAAAAGAGCTCTTCCAAGCTTAGATGTTTATCACAAAGGAGAGGCAGGCTGCTTTTTGACTCCTGTTTCGACAACGTGGCTTAAACCGCGTCCTGGACCCCCTTCTCACAGCCACTTGGCTCCGAAGGGTGAGGATGCTCCTCTGTTGCCTCCGGGGTCCCCCAAGGCGCTCACATCCGTGCTCCCAAAGCTGAAGATGATGCGCTGGACCACGGAGCGCACACCGGCATCGTGAGCGCCACCTGGTGGCAGCGATGTGCCACATCATTGATTTAAGACCTGCCCCCATCTCAGACGGTGAAAAGGGGGAAAATGTATTTTAGAATTAACGAGCTATTCATCATTAAAATTAAGTTACGACACACCCAGTGAGACTTGGACCCATTTATCTGGGTCTTTGAGGTGTGCAATTAATAATAATATCCTAAATACTTTCGATGCTTTCAGCCAGTGGGTTTAACCTTTTATGGCATTAATACCCCTTTGGGAATCAGGCAGAAAGCTCTGAATTCTCTCCGCAGGGGAACAGAAGCATGCAGTTTTACATTTCTACTTTGGAACTCATGACTCCAGTGGATCCCCAAATGCCTGATTCGTGAACTCCAGCTTTAACGCTTAAAAATACATTCCCAGTCAGCGTTTTTATTCTTAGGTATATGCACAAAATGATTGAAGACGGGTATTCAAACCGACGCTTGTACATGAACGTTCACAGCAGCATTAGTCACAAAAGATAGAAACAATCCAAACGGCCATCAACTGATGGATGGAGAGGCAGAGTGTGGCGTATTTATATAAGGGAATACTATTCAGCCATAAAAAAGGAATGAAGTATTGACACATGGATAAATCTCAAAAACATTATGCTGAGTGAAAGCAGCCAGACTCCAAAGATCACACATTCTATGAGTCTGTTTATATGAAATATCCACAACAGGCAGATCCATAGGGAGAGGAAGAAGATCACTGGTTTCCAAGGGCTGGGGGCAGGGAGGAGTAACTGCTTAATTGGTAAAGAGCTTCCTTTTTGAGGTGATGAAAATGTTTTAGAACTAGATAGAGGTGATGGTTGCTCACCATTGTAAAGAAACAATGCCACTGAATTTAAACGGTTAATTTTATGTTATGTGAATTTTACCTATATAAAAAATATTTCTCCTGAATCATCTCATTGAAGCCTCATGACCATCCTCTGGGATAGGTGAGCCATCTTACCCATTTCACAGATGTGGAAGGAGAGGCTCAGAGAAGTTAAGTGACTTCCCCAAAGCCACACAGCTGGTATGAGACAAACCTAGGATTTAACCCCATCTCCTGATTGTAAATTCCCCACCTGTTCCACAGCGGGCCGCCTGCAGGGCTGTCAGCCTCCAGCCAGCGGGTCACCCAGCATCGGAATCACCCAGAGTGTTCATTAGAATCACATTCTTCCATCTACCCAAGATCTACGAAATCAGAATCACTGCGGGGCAGAACCCTGAAATAAGCATTTTAACAAGCTCTGAATCGCTCGTGTGCACTTTGAATTTGAGAACCACTTAAGGCAGTGGTTTCCGAATAGGGGTTCCGAATATTTGAGCACAAATATATCCCTGGGCCCCTTCCGGGGAGATGCTGATTCACTGGATTCAGGGCAGGACCCGGGGAGCTGACTCAACTAGTAGCACAGGCGGGTCTCACCCGATCATCAGGCGAATGTGGGGACACTGGCCTAAAGGGTGCAACGTACTCTCCAGGTCTTCCTCCTCCCCGGCCGTGACTTTGACTAAGTCCAGCCCTGTGTCTGAGTCTGTTTCCCATAGCAGAGGAGGCCTGCCTTGTAGAGCTGAAACACTGGGATGTTTTCCTAAGTAAAGAGTCCTGGAAACCCTCTGTTACATGGATGCTAACAGAAGGTAATTTGGTGTTGGGAACTTTTCTGCGTGGGGGAAAATCAAGAAGCTTTGTTTTTAAGAAAGCTATGTACATTAGGAGCCAGTGGTTAAGATCCGGCGCTCTGCCCGCCACAGTCTGTGTTCATTTCCCGCTCAGGGGACCTCGCCACTCATCTGCAGCTTGTCACTCCGGTGGCTGCATGTGGCTGTGATGCTGAAAACGATGCCACCGGTATTTCAAATACCAGCAGGGTCACCCATGGTAGACAGGTTTCAGCAGAACTTCCAGACTAAGACAGACTAGAAAGAAGGACCTGGCCACCCACTTCTGAAAAAATTGGCCATGAAAACCCTGTGAACAGCAGCAGAGCATTGTCTGATAGAGCCCCGGAAGGTGAGAGGATGGCACAAAAAGACCGGGCAGGGGTCTGCTCTGCTGTCCACAGGGTGGCTGGGAGTCAGAATCAACTTCATGGCACTAACAACAAAGTAAAGATACCACAGAAGGGCCATTTTTGACTCTACACCTGATCTGCCCAGTGACTTTTTCAATTCTTTGTGGATTAGTGACAAAAGTATCTGCTGCCAGCCCCAGAAGAAATCAGAGTTGCAGACGAAAGATTAGTGGTGCCTCCCGCTCTCCCTCCACGCCTTCCATTCCTCTGGGGAAGCCACACTCCTCCCCTGGGAGGGTCCAGTCTCACCGTCCCCTGGACGTGTGCAAACAGACACACTGGAAAGAAGGAGGGGGGTTGCTTGTCTTTAAAAAAAAGCTCATACCATACACTCCTCTGTGTGTTGCTTTTCAAACCCAATTGTCAGAGACATCCCCCAAGTTAGAAAAAAAAAATGTGGAGCTCTGCCTTATCTTCTTCATTGCCGCCCATCATTCCACCCCGTGCTCGTATCCTAATGCATTCAGCCATTCCTCCATGGGTGAATCTCCCAGTTCTTTCCCCGTTTCAGGTTTGTTTTGCCAAAAACATCCTTGCCCGTGCGTCCTTGGGTGCTGGTACTTTCCATCCTGTAGGACGGATTCTTCAAAGTGGGGTGGACTGTGGGCAAAGAGCTGTGGACGCCGAGTCTTTGTGAATGCTGCCAGATCGTTTCCCACAATTGCATCCGTTCCTGTTTCTCCCGGTAATGTGTGAGAATGTCCTTTTCCCCACGTCCGCACCAGCACCGGATATTATCAATTTTTTTAATGCTGCCAGTCTGATAGGAAATGCAACTGAGATCAGAAAATACACAAATGACCAAAAAAAAAAAAAAAAACAAGAAAAAGGACGCTTATTTTTGCAGGTCGTTCCTGAAATCTCTATTTTCGATCTAAGATAGGTGAGCCCTTGAAACTCCCCAAGGTGAGTCGGCATCTGTCCCTCACTTTCTTCCTCGGGTGTAGCAGAATTTCTAGCAGGAAGGGATCCTGGGACATCCTTGTACTTTCTCCCCTCGCCATTTCCTCTCCAAGACCCTGCAACTCTGTAAGGAAGTGATGTCACTCCCTCTTCTCAAAAAAGTGGGATCCATGGCTTTGTGGGGAGTGACTGAGCACCAGTGTAAGGCCACCTGACTGGGATGGAGGGGTCCCTCGCGCCAGCCTGGCTCTGCTGTGGACGACGGCATGACCTTGGGTGAGCCACCCTCCCTCACTGACCTTGGTTCCCCTCTGTGTGAAATAATTGCCTGAGTTCTGATCAGGGTTTCTAAAGGACAGTCAGTGGCTGGGCCAGCACATGAGAAAACTAGGGAGCCGGTGAGGTATGCAGAAGTCCACCGCCAAGGATGCCACCCTGGCAGGTCCAGGAAATGGCAGGAAGCTGCATTTTAGCGTGTGCCCTAGGGGGCCACTGACCACGCTCCAAGGAACACAAGTTCAAGACCTCCTTTCGGTTCTAAGATTCGGTGGCAGTTCGTGCACTCCCAGACATGCCACCAAAGTCCAATCAGGTCTTGGATGGGACGCATCTGCCTCAATCTCTCCATTTTCCTGATGCCTCAGCTCCAGTGATGTCCGTGGTTAGTTAGTTAGATACTAAACTGGCTTTTCAACTGGTTTGGTTATCACCACTGGGTGATGATGAATGTCAGAGAGTAACTTTGACCAAAAGGCTAGTGAGGAGGTCCTGAAATGAGGTAGGACATGAACATGGCTGGGACTTGGGGACCACCCCCTCCCACGCCCTTATAATGCAGCCTGTTCCTCTCAGCCCTCCACTCTGCGTTTTCGCATCCTTGAAACCCATCCACGTGGATAGATTTTTGTGCTCAGCTACCACGATGACTTTGATGCCAAAGCCTGAGGATGCCAGCCCCTGTCATCTTGCACTTCCAGAGATGTTTTACGGGGAATACAGGAAAATGAATGAATTCCAGAGAATTCTAGTCAACGGCAAAGAAGGAATGAAAGTCATTTTACGGGGACTATAAATCCTAGTCAAATAAGTATGGAATCAAAGCAAAATTAGAAAGGTTCCTATAAATACGTATTTCAAAGCAGGAAATCAGTTTCACCCCTGGCTGGATTTTGGATTTTGTCTTGAGCCTCACAGTTATCAGCACTTTGTACTACGTGGAAACAACGAATAGACTAGAACTACATAGAGGGGAAAAACACAGAGGCAAAAGAAAGTCAAGCAGTCCGAGTTTAAATCCTGCCTCCATCACTTAGAAGCTGTGTGACGTCAGAGAAGTTGCTTCACTTCTCTGACCCTCTGTTTGCTCATCTGTAAAATGGGGATGATAATAGTATGGACCTAACAAGATTGTTGCGAGGGTTAAATGAGCAGATTTATATAAAGCTCTTGGCACGATATCTGACATAGGGTGAGTGTTCCGTGATCGCTCACTCTTGCTGTTGCTCTTGTTTCTTTCATGTCTGTCTCATCTTCTCTCAGGAGCTCAGGAAGGGAATGTGTCCAGGCATTTCCTCTAATTCCAGTAGCCCAGGATAAATAAAAACACAGAACTAACTTCAGCAAAGTGTGGCACAGGCTTCTGCACCTAATTTTTTTGGCTTCATTTTGTGCGAACAGAGTGGATTCACTTGACGTTGATCAATGCTTGCGATTTCTCTTTCAGTTAATCAAGACAGCTTTGAACACGCTCTAGAAGGTGAGTTCCATAATGAAAAGACCAATAAATCAAGCCAATAGCAAAAAACAAGGGCGGGTCCTTAAACAACCTTATCCACGTGCTTAAAAAAAATAAGTAAAAGTTCTGCCTTCACCCCACTGAAGATAATTTCAAAACAAATGATATCGTAAAGAAAAAAATATCATTGAATTTGCAACTTATGGGTCCTAACTATGACTGAAAGGGATTTGATACCAGTTCTGTTCATGAGATAAGAAAATCTGAGGGTCCATGTGCCTGAGAAGCCATAACTCTATTGTAAAAATTTCACCACGTGGTGCTACCTGGGGGAGCTAAGTCCAGTGATGTCTCACCCTCCGTGCTCAGCATCCTCCTGGTTTCGGGAGGGGAAGATCCATCCGGGGGATGCTCTGTAGTCTGCTTTCCCCCTCGGTCTTTCTCGTCCCCAAAATACTTGTCCCTGTACCCCCTTGTTTTCTGTTCTCCTTTCAAAAGGAATTATCAAGTGAGATTCGTTAGTGTGCACTAGATGCTACATCTTATCCAGGACTTCTTTTTCTTTTTATTTTGTGGTTCCTTCCCTTTCCGGCCTCTCCCATATGTAGAACGTTCTGCCTTCTGTATACCCCCCATTCAGTTTGGTACCAAATCTCTCACCCCAGCTGTGGTGTCAGAAAAAAATAAAATGGTTTTTTTTCCGATGTTTCGTTAAAAAAAAAAGTGGTGACCAATTCAGCAGTTTTTATTATTATTTTTGGAGCCATTTAGCTTTCTGACAATAAGGAATTCACTCAGAATCTGGGGCTATGGGCATTACATTTCATTAGTTGCTGTCCCCAGCAACAGGTGACAGTTTAATCCAAGCGAGCAGAGCCAGGACTCAGAGGGAAGTGCAGGGGGGAGCACGTATCGGTCACTCCACTGGGAGAAGAGGGGGCATTTTGTGGTGTTGGTCTGTTCCGGCCACGCCCTTGCTGTCTTTTGCCAACCGCTGAACCATGAGAACGTGTCAGAGGCCTGGGTTGCTCAGAGGTTATGAGCGCCCCCGTAATGTTTTGTGCTCGTGCATTTATCATGGGTCTTAGGGTCGATTTCTCAGACCCCACAGAGTGGCGGCTAGTGGGTTATAGGTTGGGAGACAGCCGAGCTCTGTTAGATGCGGCCACGGAGAATGGCAGAGGAAGCCTGGCGGCCAGGTGTCTCGAAGAGATGTGGGGGTCTCCCTTCCAGCCGTGCTGGGAAGACGCCCCCGGCTGCCACAAGAGCTGTCGTAGGTCTCGTGATTTCCACCCACCACTGGAAGGTAGCAGAGGCTCCAGGTGAGGCCCCGAGGGTTACCTGAGGATAAGCAGTGCTACCTCTGAGAATCCAAACCGGGTCTTCACAGTCGGGGTGTCATTGGGGTAGTCAGTACCGAGAACTGCCCCCGATGCCCAGCGCCCTCTCCTGGAGGGTCTGATTCAGCAGCTCGGGGAGGCACCTGCCCGTCTGGGCGCAAGAAGCTCCCTCTTCTCCAGGGAATGTCAAGCAACTCAGCCTGCCCAGTTAGCACCTTGGGGATTTTCTCCAAGTCGTCCCCTGAACTGGATTTTAACCAGATTTCAACTCTACCCCTCCCCAAATCGGAACATAATATGATCAGGGTTAAATGAGTGTGATTCTCGGTAGCCCCTATGGCCGCCCCACCTAAGTGTGGGTCTGGGCTCTGTCGCCAAGAACCAGCACCACGCCCTCTAGTCGCTGCCTCTTCCCCCTCTGGAGGTGGTTCTGCCGTGGCTCAGGCTCTGTGATGGCAGCTCCTTGAGTGGGTGCAGACCTGGGCGGGGGGGGGGGGGGAGGGATGCTCACCTGGGAGCCAGGTACCGATGCGGGTTGTGCGTGTGGACATGAGGGCCTCACTGGCTTTGTGTTCAGTAGCAGAAGCGGCAGCCGAGACATCATTGGAAGGGGGCAATATGGCGCTTGCCATCTTCATCCCGGTCCTCATCATCTCCCTGCTGCTGGGCGGAGCCTACATTTATATCACCAGGTAGGGTCGGGGGCTGCCATGCGCTCAATGACCAGGGCCCTTGGGGGCTGGGCGTGTCACCTCTCTGAGCCTCACGGTCTCCACCTGCAGCTTGGGGACAGTGGCATTTGTGTGATTGTAGCTATGGGAGAAATTGTATATGGAGCACCTACCAACCTCGGGGGTAGACGGCTGAGCAGGCAGCAGCAAATAAGACAGACACCATCCCTGACCTCAAGGAGCTGTGGTTTAGTGGGAAAGACCGACGTTTCCTATTGCCCAGCACACTGACGTTCTTTCCATCATTCAGTCACTTAATCGGCAAATGAATATTGACAACCTGATGTGGACCAGACTTGTCCCAGGTGTTGGGGAGCATAGAACCTGCCTTTAGTGAAGAAGGAAGATCTTCAGCCACAGCTTGGCTATTCACTAATTCGTTCAAATTCACCATTATTGAGCACCCACTGGTGTCGGGCAGTTTTCTGGGCTCTAGAAACATCATTGCGAACAAAACAGAAGGAAATCTTTGCCCTCGTGGGGCACAGGTTCTAATGGAGGGAATAGACGATAAGAAAAGTAGATAGTACATCAGAAGGTGATAAATTCAGGGAGAAAAAGAAAACCAGGAAGGGAGAAACGGGGAGCTGGGGTGGGAGTGGTGGTTGCACTTTGAAGGGGGGAGGTAGAGGAGGCCCCCCTGAAAAATGACATTGAAGTAAGTACTTGAAAGCAATAATGAGTAAACTATGCAAATACCTGGGAGAGGAGGATTCCAGGCAGAGAAACAGCATGTGCAAAGCCCTGAGGCAGGCAGTTTCCTAAGATAAATTGTCTGTGGCCTCCTGGAGCACACAGTCTAGTGGCAGGGAGGGGAAAAGTACACAGTAAATTATAACACACTATGATAAACACAGTGAAGGAAGGAGAAGGAGTGTGGGAAGAGAGGCACTGCCTTTGAATAGGTGGTGAGGGAAGGTTGCTTTGAGGCACCATGGTATATAGTAGGTGCTCAATAAATGCTCCTTATTCTTGTGGTTGCTCTTTGCATTAAAGAGGTATCAAGACTCTAGTTATCACTGACTGGATTAGAAGTTGAGGGCAATTATGATTCACCCGTCGCCCTGCTCGTATTCTTAGCTGCAAGAGGCTGCTTCCACACATCCTCATTGTCTTTTGCGGAGGTGCCAGTGCTCAGGAAGTGGCACCAGCTGTCCCCATTCGCTCTCGTAATGTGTCTCCCTTATCATCTCTTCTCCAGATGTCGCTATTACTCCAACCTGCGCCTGCCCCTGATGTACTCGCACCCCTACAGCCAGATCACCGTGGAAACCGAGTTTGACAATCCCATCTATGAGACAGGGGTGAGTGGGTCTGTCGTCTCTCCCCACGCCTCCCCCTTCACCTGCTCTGAACTCACCCACATCAAAACTGAACGCTGGATTCCCTTTTGCTCATGATGCCGCTGGCAGAAAGGCGCGGCCAGTGGTCCAGTCTCATCCCCACCATGACCTCTCTTGAGATGACGACTAGGAGAACACAGCTCGCTTTGCGAGCCAATGACAAGCCTGCAACGCTGTTCACTCTTGGCAGAAGGACCACAGGAAGAAGGGGCTGCATCAAAGACCCACAGAGAGATGGCTGAGATGGGTCACAGCCCACTGGTGACCTGGTGGCAGTGACATCCTTCCCACACATCTTCCTGAACTCCAGTCCTTATTGAGCGGCAGCGTGCAACGTTCCTACACATCAGAGTGGCCGGCCTTGTGCTGGGTACTAAGGGCACCATCATGAACCAAATAGACACAGTCCTGCCATTAATGAGCATATAGTCTTGCAAAGGAGACAGATATCAGTAATAATAATTTGGACATGGGCCAGGCACCTTAAACACATAATGTCTTTGAATTTTTGCAACTCTTTGTGATAGATCCTACAGTTTACCTCTGGTTGACTTATGAGGACATTGAGGTTCAGAGAGAGGAAAAAATGATTTGGCCAAGGTTGCACACAGCCAAAAGGCACAACCCAGAGCCAGGATGCAACCTCTGCCTGATGCCATTAATCGTTACACTGTCCTGCCTCCCCTTGAACCTCAGTCATATATGCCAAGGAATATCTTGATTATAACAAATCATAATTTTTAAGAACGATGAAAGAAATTAGACAGGATGCTATAAGTGTATGATGGGGACATTTGGGGGGGAGGAAGGTGACTTTGAAAAAGTGATGGTACAGCTGGGATACATAAAGTGGGTAGAACTTAGACGGTAGTTAAAGAAGATTGCAGGCAGAAGGGAGAGCATGTGCAAAGGCCCAGAGGCACATGTGAGGAACCAAAAGTCCGTCATTACTTTGCAAAACCACAACCCTTCAAATTCACCGTGTAGTGGTGTGCAATCATCTCCCATGTTTGGGGGCATAAACTTGGCTTGTTCCCTATCTCTGTTAACCCTCACCCCCACTTCCACCCTTCCTTCTTCCTTCCTTCATTAGTTATCTATTAATGTGTAACAGTGTAATAATTGAAATTTAGGAATCTAAAATAGCACACGCTTATTATCTCATAGATTCTGTAGGTCAGGAGTCCAGGCACAGCTTAGCTGGGTCCCCAGCCTCAGGGCTCACAGGTACAACTGAGGTGTCAGCCGGGGCTGCAGTCTCATCTGAGGCCCAACTGGGGAAGGATCCACTTCTAAGCTCACCGGGATGTTGCCGGCATCCAGTTCTCTGCAGGTTGTTGGACTGAGGACCTGGTTTCTTGCAGGATGTCATCTAGAGGACATCCTCTGCTCCTTTCCACGTGCCCCTCTCTGTAGAACAGTCACAACCTGCCAGCTTACTCCTTCAAAGCCAGTGAGAGAGACAGAGTCTTGCCACAGGACGGAAGTCGCAATCCTACGTGATAGGAACGTGGACATGACATCCCCGCCCCTTTGCTGTATTCTCTTGCTTAGAAGCAAATCGCAGGTCCTGCCCACACTTAAGGGGAGCTGATCATACAAGAATGTGAACGCCAGGAGGTGGGGATCATGGGTACCACCTTAGAGGCTTCCCACCACACTCCCATCCACCAGGAAGCATGACCATGGCTGCTAATCCGTGTCGACCCAGTGGGATCCACAGACCTCCTTTAAAGCATGTCCCAGTGACCTCCTCAGGGGCCACGGCCAAGCCTAGGACTTCTTACCTCCCTGCTCCTCTGCCCCAGGGGCCTGGAGTATATTACACACACTCCATGAATCTTGGAGAAATTGAACTGGTTGCTACCCATATGCTGTAGGCATTTTAGATATGACCCTGTAAGAAGAGGTCATATGTTATTTTATATTTTATGTAGCCTGTTTCCAAACCCTAAAATAAGGTTAAGCTGGTGAAGAACAGCACTTTAGAAACTAGACCTTATTAATACTTATCAGTATAGTGTATCAGTTACCCAGCACTAGAATAATGCAGAGTAACAAACAATCCCAAAACTCAGTCGCTCAAAGCAACCCATGTTAATTTGCTCATCAGTCTGCGGGGCAGTGTTTTCAGCTAGTTCCAGGCAGTGCTCGCTCACAGCTGGGATTGGCTAGTTGTTGGCTGGGTGACTCGGCTGTGCTCTCCACGTCCTGCACCTTCTCGCTGCAACTAAAGGCCACGAGGGGCGCTCTGCTCCTGGTGACGGTGGAAGGGCAGGATGCAAGCAGAAACACACAAGCACTTTTGAAGCCCCTCTTGTGACCCATTTTCTTATAATCCGTTATCAAAAGCAAGGCAGGGTCAGAGTGGAAGGACACTGCAGAGTCACCTGCCTAATGCTGTGGACGCAAGGAGGGGTAAAGAACTGGAACCACTGATGTGTCACTCTGCCACACAAGGGTTTCACAGGTCTGTGCTTCTCTCTCTTGCAGGAGACCAGAGAGTATGAAGTTTCCATCTAAACAGAGCTCCACTTGAGAAGGGCACTTACAGATCTGAACTCAACCACGACCTCCTCAAGCAACTCATCCAGAGAGCATGTGGCGTTGGATCGAAACCCCAGAGTGTCGGCTGTCTTCTCTTTAGACTCTTTATGGAAGAGTTACTGTTTTCTTCACTGTATTTATTATATTTAAAATTGAAATGGGTGTGGTTAGATGTATTGCAGCTGCGGCCAAATTCACGTGACGAGATCGATTCTGGAGGCAGGCGGAGGACCTGCAAATGGCAGACACAGCAGCAGAGGGAAAAAAACAGAAGCAGGTTGAGTTCCTCCCGTCAGCCAGGCCGTGCTACGGCTGCATCAGACTGCATGCATCTTCGGGAGCCAGGCCCACGGTGTCTTTAGTGCAAATCTAAGTCGCAAGATTAGGTTGGAAAGGGTGTTTTTTGTTGGGTTAACTTGGGTTGGGATTTAGCATGGAGACATAAACAGGTCCACTCTGAAACACATCCTGGGTTTGCTCTTCCAATTTTCCCAGCTTCTAAAAGGTCCTCCCACCTACTCTCCCTCCCTTCCATGCTCTTTCTGGAGGCAGCAAAAAGGTTACATAAACAATTCCTGTTCCCACCCTGGCCTCACTGGATGCTGGCAAAATCAGAAACTGTTTTCTCTCTATAAAGGTGACAAATGACCAAGGAAAGTTTTCAGAGAAGATGGGAGATGTGAGAGTTCCGGTGAAGAACTGGATGAGGGGGGGACATTGGGTGAGGGAGTGGAGTTAAAATGTTCTTTTCTTTGACACCCCTTCAACGGTGAAAGAGCAGACAATTTATGCTACAAGTGCCAGAATCGGTCACCTCGTTCAGCAAGGCCACCCTCAAGTCGTGACAATAGATCCACGGGCTTCAGAGGCATGGGCAGCGTCACCCATATAAGTTATAAGGGTTTATGTTGGGGATGGGGGTGCCATGTGGAATCCAGGGGTGAGCTCTGTATTTATCCTGGGGTACTGAAATGCCTGAGCCCTCAAAATAGGGCAGGTTCAAGTGCACAAGCCACAGACAAACTTCAGAATAGATTTGCAATCAAGTATTTCGGGGGCGGGAGGGTCCTAGGAGGAGAAGCCCACAGCTTGGACGATGGCGTGAATGCTGGGGGAGCAGGGGTTTAAAACCACAGCGAACCACACAACAGAACCTGCATCACGATGCCGATGGGACAGCAGTGAGGAGAGAAGGAGGGATTTGGGGCCAGGACAGGATTCATAGCACTTCCTTCATCACATGAGCATCCTGATATTTTATCGGGGTCCTTTCACCCCAACTCAGTGGGACTGGGGAGTATGTGACTTTCTGGAAGATTCTTTTCCAAGTCAGGTATAAAGAAAAGTGGGGTGGGGGGTGCTTGGAAGGAATAGTATGTGTGAGGCAGATACCGCCCCCCAACCCGGGGGCCATCACCTCCCTAGCAACACCGATGGCTCAGAGCCCTCTTTGGCGCCCTCCCACGCTCTCTGGAATTAAGTGTGCTGGCTTTCAAACAAGAAAAGACCTTTCTGGCTGCCATGCCTCGGGGAGAGTGGCTAGGCCTTCATCTTTTAGGAGCTTGTTTAGGAAACATCTGGAGCAGGATAGGGCAGTTGGCTTTGCACACAGACACATACATACCCTCCTCCTAACCCAGAGCTCGGACCTCCATCCTGGGGGTCTGAGGTCCGAATATTTTCTTTCTGCCGGAAAAGAATCCTGTCTATATGCCCCTTAAGGCACGCATTTGTGGCGCATGGCAAGAGACAACTAAAGGCTGCTTTTCCAGGCACTCAAAGCCCACCCCATTTTATGGAAGACCCAGAGGAGGAGCGTTCCAGACTGTTAGTAAGCAATGCCGTGTTTGGAAGAGACCAACAATACAATTAACGCAACCCTTTTTGTAAAAGCAGAATCCAATTTTTGCTTTTATTTCTATCTGATGTTTATCTAACTCCAACCACGGGTCATTTGGAATGAAGAACTCTAGTCATGATATTTGATTTTAGAACAGACTATGGTTATGTGAAAACTAAACGTTTGCCTTTCGTAAAGACTGACGAGATATAAAATCTTTATTTTAACCCTACTCCCTGAAACTGGCCAGGCCATGGCCCAGGAATTCATATTGGCTGTTGGAGGGAGAGAAAAGCTGTTGATTTTTTTTTCAGGATACCAATGTCTTACTTCTGTCTTAGTAATGCAGCCCCCGTAACCATGTTTTAAAAGTTTATTTTAGCCTAAAGACGGATCGTACGAGCTCGACAACGTCCAGTGTGATTGAAAAGACAGGTCGGTGTCTATCTTTCTTTTTGAAATATCTGAATGTGTATTTGTAAAATGTAAAGGTTAAAAAATTAATAATAATAGTGCCAAAAATGTACCGGGCATCTCATTTCAGTCCATACATGTCTGTTTTTATAAGCTCGATATTAAAACCCATTGGGATTAAATATTTTTGAACAGGATACAACCTTGAGAAACTCAAGAATGGACTGATCCTTCTTCCCACAAGCCGCTCTTTGTTTTTAAAACAGTGGGGAACTACGTTTACAGAGATTTCGACCTTCCAAGAATGCATGTGATGGCATGTATTACATGCTCCTTTGTGTCAGCTGTATCTGTCAGCTACCGCCCAGTGCTTTAAAAATGCACACACTCAACCCTCTCCAGCTTGGAGCTCATCCTTTTGGGTTTTCTTTTGAGGGGGGTGGGCAGAAGGGGTGGAATTATTTAGCCAACATAACTATTCCGGTCGCTACTTGATGGCGATGCTTACTTAGCTCCATTGACACGCTTGAAATATGGTCTTTCGAAGCCAGATCCTTGGAGAACTTGGAACTTCAGGCTGAAAGCTGTGGGAACTGCCAACCAGCCCAGCAGGAAGTACAGTGACTACATCATCAGGATGGTTGTATAAGCAGAAGTGACTTAGCAAATATATGGGTAGATTTAGGCTGAGGCACGAACCTTGGGCGAAAATGACCTTCTCTTGGGGCAAATCCAAGGGGGATGACTTTCCTGTGCCCTCGGGTGGGCATGGCGGGTCCTTCGAGGTCAGATACCGTGGAGTCGTTCAGCATCTCCGAAGGGAAGCTTTCTCCTGGGAAATTTTCATTTTCATTTTATCCCCAAACGGAATAAAAAGCAAAACGAACTTTCTAAGCTAGAATAATGAAATGAAGTCATTTTCCACTTTGTATATATTGATGCTAATAAAACAAATGAAAAAGAGTCAACTCTATGGGGTTTTTGTTACAAACACTCCAGGATGGCACGCAGTGGAATATTTCCAGTTGCTGGGGATTGGGATGGGGTAACACCTACTGACACTTTGAATGCCAGGACGGGACTGCCACCTCTGGGATGGTTCCAGGAACACTGAGGGAGTGTTTGGAATAAGACTGATCTACCGCCAACATCAGACGTACCACCATCTTCCCCGTCCTGGTCAGCTCAGGTTGCCATAACGAAGTACCACAGACAGGGTGGCTGGAACAGCAGACATTTATTCTCAAGGTTCTAGAAGCTGGGAAGCCCAAGATCAGGGTGCTGGCCAGTTTAGTTCCTGGTGAGGGCTCTTTTCCTGGCTTTCAGGTTGCCTTCATGCTGGGTCCTCGTATGGCAGAAAGAGAGATTTCTCTTCCTCTCAGAAGGCCACACTTCCGTGAGATTAGGGCCCCACTCTTATGACCTCATTTAACCTTAATTAACTCCTAAAGGCCCTATCTCCAAATACAGTCACAATGGGGGTCAGGGTTTCAATATGTGAATTTGAGGGGACACAATTCAGTCCATAGCATTCCATCCAAGCACCCAAAAATGCATGTCCTTCTTGCACACAAAATACATTCATTCCATCCCAATGGCCCCCAAAGTCTTAATTCATTCCAGCATCTACTCTAAAGTCTAAAGCCCAAGGTCTCGTCTAACATCATCTAAGGCAGGTATGAAGGAGACTGGAGGTTCCCTTCGTCCTGAGGCAAATGCCTCTCCAGCTGTGAACCTGCGACACCAAACAAGGTATGTCCTTCCCAAATACGATGGTGGGACAGGCATAGGAGGGGCATTCCCATTCCGAAAGAGAGAAATTGCAGACAAAAAGGGGCGATGGGTCCCAAGTAAGTCCAAAACCTAGCAAAGCAAGTTCCATTGGATCTTCAAGCTCGAGAAGAATCCTCTTTGGTTCGATGCTCTACCCTACGGGTCCACTGGGGTGGCAGAGTCACCCCCAAGGCTCTGGAGGGGCAGCCCTATGCACGCAGCTCTCTTCAAGGGTGGCATCATCCCTGAGGCGCCAGGTGGGGACATTCTGACAGAAAACAGAGACACGGCCCCATCTTTTGAAACCAAGGAGGAAACAGCCTTGCTCGCTGGACCTTCAGGGTCACCGTTCCGTTTCCTTGGAGAGGAGCGCATATTCACAGCTGGATAGCTCCGTGGTCAGATCCTGTAGAGTCCAAGAAGACCAACAGCCCTCCCTCCTTGAGTGCCACCGTCTCTGTCCCCTTCTGATAACAACCCCACCTCTATTCCAAGTTTCTGCTGAGATGGTTTATTAAATCCATGGTCTCTCGATCAAATGGTCTTTCAACCACACCCTCAACGTTCTCTCCAGATCGAGCGTCCTCATTTTTTGCAATATGGATGGGCTGAGAATTTCTCAAATCTTCAAGTTCTGGTTCCTGTCTGCTCAACAATTCCTTCTTCCATTCGTCTCTCTCCTTTTGCATTTTACTATAAGCCATTAGGAGGAAACAACCACTCCTCCAACACTTTGCTTTGAAGTCTCCTCAGTGAAATATCCCATTTCATCGCTCACAAATTCTACTTTCTATAAAACACTAGAACACAGTTTATCCAAGTTCTTTGCCACCTTATAACAAAGATCACCTTTCCTCCAGTGTCCAGTAACATGTTCCTCATTTCTGTCTGGGACCTCGCCAGAATGATCTTCAATGTCCATATTTCTGCCAACATTCTGTTCATTGCAATGTAGGCTTTTTCTAACATGCACTTCAAAACTCCCCCAGCCAGTTCCAAAGCCATTTCTATATTTCCAGGTTTTTAGGAAAGCATCCTCTTACTTCTCAGTACCAAAATCTGCATTAGTCAGAGTTCTCCAGAGAAACAGAACCAATAGGACGTACATATAAAAAGATTTGTTTTAAGGAAATGGCTCATGCAATTATGGAGATTGAGAAGTCTCAAGATCTGTAGTCAGCAAGCTGGAGACCCAGGAGAGCCGATGTGAGGTTCCAATCTGAGTCAGAGGACCTAAGAATGAGGACAATCAATGGTGCAAGTTTCAGTCCAAAAGCTGGCAAGCTTCAGACACAAGAAGAGTCATGTTCTAGTTTGAGTTCGAAGGCTGGAAGAGACCAATGTCCCAGCTCAAAGCAGTCAGGCAGCAGGAGAAGTTTGCTCTTACTCATGGAGAGTCAGCCTTTGCTCTACTCACACTTCAACTGATTGGACAAGGCCCACCCACATTAGGGAGGGCACTCTGCTTGACTAAATCTACTGATTCAAATATTAATCTCACCCAAAAACCCCATCACAGGCACACCCAGCATAATGTTTGACAAAATATCTGAGAACCCTATGGCCCAGTCAAGTTGACACATAAAATTAATCATCACATCTCCAAAAGCCCTATCAATGCAATGGGACCCCCCCCCCCAACAAGGAGCAGGTGAGCCAGGACACCCATGCTAAAGTCTTGCAATGCCATTGTTATTTCTCAGTGAGAAATGGAGAAATATTTTCACATCTCAGGACATAGGCCGATCTGACTTAACCTAGTGTCTTAGGTTGGGCTTCCCAGAAGCAAATGTTAAGACAAGGATTCAAGTGCAATGATTTATTTGTCAGGTGATCCCATAGAATACCCAAAGGAGACGGAGGAAGTAAGATTGGGAAGGGAAAGAAGCCAATAAAAAAATGCAGTGGCCAAGCAGGGTACTCCTGGGGACAACTGGGGCTCCGTCCCGCTGGGTAATTCTGGGAAACAGTGAAGAACAAGCCTCTGACTGGGTCCACCTGCGGGTCGAGGGAGTTGGGGTATTTATCCACCAATTCCCAACCGTCATTGATTAAGGGATGTGTTTAATGCGCCCTCTGGTGGCCACATGGGGGATCCACTCCAAAGCTTAGGTAATTCTCAAGACTGAGGGATCCAAGTTGGCCCTTTATCTCAGGGACATCTCACAACAAACGGAGAAGGGGCTGGGAGGTGGGGGGGGCGTGTGGGGAAGCATCCCAGGTGGATGGGGGGCGTGCTTCTTCCCTGAAGGTGTCCAATAACTTCCGTTATAAGACAGACGCATGGGCTTCCAGAAGGTCCCCTGGGGAGAAGCTTCATCGGCGGAAGTCAGGCAGCTGGCAGGACCAGGGTGGACCTGAACCATTCATGGGCCTGTCACTCAATCAGTTCCAGAACAGAGATCCCGAGGAAGGACAGACAGAGTGAGGAAAGAAGATGGAAAGGTCAGAGTGTGTCCCGGAGGCCTTCAGAAACCACGAGTCTGTTCCCCAGGCCTGGCCGCCCTGCAAGCTCAGAACAAGAGTGGAGAAGCAGAGTTTCCTTGAAGACCAGAACCCCCTCTTCCTGGAGATGTGCTGCAGACGAACTTAGCAGGATGGACAGGCCCGGAGAGAGAGAGAGCCATAAAGAAGTGGCCAGAAAGATTCCTGCCGGGATAATATAGTAACAATAATAACAGTTGTTTTTGTTTGGTTTTGTTTTCTACACTTTAAATATGCTTTTTATTTCAGGATGGGTTTAGATTTCCTAGTTATTTGAAGCACTTTAATATCTCATTCACTCCTGTGAGTAAAGAAACTATTAGTATTCTCCTTTTACACGTGTGGCGTCTGAGGCTCAGAGAGGGTAAGTCACCAGCTCAAGTTCACACAGCTGGTACCAAGGGAATGGGACCCAGGAGGTCGGTGTCCAGGGTAGGAATGACTGAAGGCCAGCCTGAGCAGTGCCACCTCCTCCCAGGACAAAGCAGGGTCTTTTGGACATGGACGCCCTGAGCACAGGGGCTCTGCCTTATCCGGCTTCTGTCCCAGTTGGTGTTTGCCTGGGTTTAGCAGTCGCTAAGAGCAGGAACTGTGAGTTTGGATCTTGACTTGATCACTACTTAGCAGCTTATGGGGGTGAGGGGCCCAGGTTGGGGGAAAATGCCTTCCTACATCACTGTGGAGGTCCCCAATATGGGGTTTCTACATCCCTACAGGAAGGAAGGAGGAAAAGTTACTAACTGTTCTAAATGTCGGGGCTAGCCTGGTGGCGTAGTGGTTAAGTTCGCATGCTCCACTTCTGTGGCCTGGGTTTCACCAATTCAGATCCCAGGCACAGACCTACACACCGCTCATCAAGCCATGCTGTGACAGCATCTCATGTACAATACAGAGGAAGATGGGTACAGATGTTAGCTCAGGGCCAATCTTCCTCACCAAAAAAAGAAAGAAAGAAAGAAACACTAACTGTCCTGCATGAGATAGAATTTTGAGGCAGACATGAAGAAGTCCACGTTCAAGATCTGTTTCCCTTCTCTTTGCTAATAGACCCCTCTTTTGTTCAGAGCAACAAGGAACTCATCCTCAAAAAATGGGTCACACTTGGTTTCAATTGTGAGCATCCTCGTACTCATTTTCCCAGCCTCCTATGCTTCCAGGGTTGATGTTCTGACCCCTTCTGGTCAGTGAGCCTTAGCAGAAGCTGGCTTGGTGTGTGTGTTTGGGGGAAGAGGAAAGGATTGGGAGATCCTCTACGAAAGTGGTTGTTTTCCAGTAAAAGGGGAGTGACAAAGCTGCTACAGCACCAGCACCTCCCCCTTTCCTCCTACTGATACCAGCCCTGATATCAGTTTCCCTACATTATACCCAGCATATATGGGATTAAAACCGAAGCACTCATTCCCTGATTACTCCCTGGCTTCCTGGCTCCAGAATCCACTATCAGTCATGGAGACAAACAGCCAAGGACAGCCACCTGGATGCACTATCTCCTCCCTGCAAAGAGATACAGGCTGGTGGGAAAGGTGCTGACCAGCAAGGTCAAGGGCTCCGTCCTCTCTGCAAGTGTCTCAAGGCCAAACACAGGCTGGTGGGAAAGCTCCGACCAACAAGGCCATATGCTCCCCCTCCCCTACCTAAATAAAAACCTACCCCAAATAAAAACCTTTCCTTTTAGCTTTGGATTTCAGCGTGAGCTGCCCTCTTTCCTTGC